ATATGGTACAAAATCTCTTCACTGCTGGCATTTCAAAATTTTTCTCTTAACAACACAAGGTCACCGACAGGGCTGTGTTGCAATGAAAACAGGGGTTTTTGCTGGCCTCTGGGATGTGCTGCCTTGCACCAATAAGGAGAAATACATCTGCAAGCACCTGGCACTTGGGGTAGAACTAACCCCTGTCCCACCCACTTTTAAGCCTCTCAAGTGTGCAGACGCCTGGACATCAGTGGGCTCAAGAAACTACTGCTTTAAGGTAGCTGTACAGTCACAAGAAAAGAAAACACCCTCAGCTTAAAACATAAGTTCAAAGTTTTCAAGTCTATCTTAATAGAACACTAACATCCACTACCCATACCCACTCAGATTAATGGATGTTGCAGTCATTGCTCTTCTGTGAGACAATGAGTGCATTTAACATGGACATGACTATCCTGGTTATTGCAGTTTTTATCAGTCGCTTTGGTACAGTTCTTGACTCATTCTTGACATCTGCAAAACAGTAAGAGCATTTCTCAAAACTGTTCAAGTCACTTGTTCAAAATCTTTAGCTTTTCTCTCAAAAGTAAATACATATGTTAGTTCCAGTCTTTTGACCTGAATTAGTCTATGTAATTGAATTTGTTCTGTTTATTGAACTTACTTGTCTTGTGGTGAAGTTGTTTTCAGTGATGTCTGCAAACAAAAAGACCTGGTATGAAGCCAGAGATTACTGCAGGGCCATCGGAGGAGACCTGCTCAGCATCCACAGTGCTGCGGAGCTTCAAGTACTACCACAAAGGTATAGCATGACCTATCAAAGTACAAAATTTAAATAATAAAAACTGTCTCTAGCAGATGATAAAGGTTGGGTGCTGTCCAGCAGAGCAATAAAGGAAGGTTTCTTTTATATTTAAATCATAATAATAAAAGTTTGTCCATTATAGCTATAAAACAGCCTGGATTGGACTTAGTGCCCCTGACCCAACCACCGGTTATGTATGGAGTGATGGATCCCCAGTGAGTTAATAGTTTTCTGCTTCATTGACCATTTCTTGATGAGGAGACTCAATTAAACAGTCTATGAAACAATATAATTTGTTTGTATTGTTTGCTTTTGTTGCAGCTGAATTTCCAGCACTGGGAGGATGGAGAGCCAAACAATTTCAATAATGTGGAATCCTGTGCTGAAATCAACCTAGAAAAGCGGGACAGTAGTGGGTCATGGAACGATGTGCATTGTGAAACGTTCCATAATTGGATGTGCCAGATTCGTGCTGGTAAAACGACTGAATTAATTTATTTCAGTATTTTGTGATTATCAAGGTTTTGCCGAGCATGGGACTCTTGTGTAAAAATTTGTTGAACATTAAAAGGGGCATGTCATGCATACTTCCAGGTTTTTAATTTTTATTCCAGGGCTTTGCTGGCATATTTTTGTATAATTTTAAAAAAGCCCCCCTCCCAATTAACCCATTCAGTTCTGAGTGGCCAGTTTTCTGAAGCTGCCCCTTGAGGCTATGACAACAGCAGTTAGACTTTATGTCTTTTCCCATTCTTTATTTCAAATGTCAATTTCTCAAATAAATCCATACAAGTTCTAGGCCAAATCCAATATATACAAGTGAAACAATAAATGACTGGACAACCTTAGCAACAATGGCAACAGAAAAAACCGTTGTTTGTGGCTATGTACAAACGATGTGATGCCAGCTTGACGGGCAATTAAAGGTAACACTGCAAAACACAAAAGTATGACCTTCTAACTTTTAACTTCCCCTCAAGTTTTGCAACTTAGACCATGTATAACTCAGACTTGAAACGCATAAATCAAAGAAAAATCACAAAAACATGATATGTATACTTTAATTGAGCAAGCATTAGTTTCCATCATCTTCCTGGCACTTAGGAGCACACATTCTCAGATCGAAGCTACCAGCTACCACCTAAGTGCTCTATTCAGTATTCTGACTATAATTATGTTTTGTCCTTATAGGAGTGACTCCAAGTAGTCCCCCAGACACTGCCCCTCCCGGTAAGTGGGTCATTTCTCTACACAACCACACAAAAAATTTCAGAAATTCAGTTTTAGACCAAACCTTATTTTCTGCTGTATTGTTTAAATTTGGTGGAGAACCTCACCGATACTGAGTATTTCTGGCTTGACCAAAATAGTGGATCAGCCATCCAACTGACTGGATAAAAAGCTGATGAAAATCTGAACCTACACATATGCTGAAAGCATATTACATATTTCTAACATTTTTCAGTCTACAATAAAACCTCAGATGGGTGGCTAATATGGAATGGGACTCAGTACTATATTAACACTAGGACGATGCCCAATGAAGAAGCTCGTCACTTCTGCCAGCAGAGGCATGGTGACTTGGTAACTATCAGCAGTGAAGCTGAAAGTGTCTTTTTATGGAAACAGGTGAGCAGTGACATTTTTACCACATTACTTAAGCTCAGGACATGTTGGGATTTAAGTACTGATGGTTTTATCATATGCCTCTGTCTATGTGTGTAGATATCCAGAGGTTATGGGTCTTACTGGATAGGCCTAAACGTAGACCTTGATGGAACATTTTCGTAAGTATGAATTAAGTAATGAATAATGTATTAAAAACCTAAATAAAAGAAGTGAAAAAATGCAGGATATCAAAGTTATGTGAGGAGCTGAATGTGTTAAAATAAAATATAATTTTATTTGAAATTTTTAAAATAATACCTCATGTAAGGCTGTCCTAATACTAGTGAAACCACATTGTTACTCAGATATTTGTGTCCATTATAAACATTGTAAATTTTGTTACCCTAGATATAAATTATACCACAATTTAGCTCTATATTTCATGCCAAAGTCATTTGTGCATCTCGCCCACACATGGTATTATTATTATCACTGAAGAATAGTATTATAGACACACAGAAAGTTTCCACCATGAATGGGCTTTTCAAACTAAAGAAAAAAACAGAAGAGTCACTGGAGAGTTTAACTCTCAAACAATGCATGCTGGGAAGTCTGCTAGTTATCCTATCACCAAAAAAGTATAATTTCCCCATTCATTTTTTTTAGTTAATCAAACATTAATACATTGAGTTTGTCAGCTTTGCTGACCCCAAAGTGCTAGTAACATGTTTACAATGAGTATTGATAAGAGACTTGAAAAAAAACTGAGTTAGGCCCACTCATTATTTAGTAGTAAACTCCGTGTTAACATTCACAGTGTAGATGCTCCCCTTTGCTCACTAGCTAGAGTTTCTAATTTTGTGTTTCTAATTCTGCAATTTATTTCTGGTAAGGTAGCATAGAGTCAGTTTATCAGAACTTTTTTTAAACAGCTGCCTATCACAGTTAGTAAGGTTTATAAGAGCTGAGTTTGCCAGTCTGAAAACCAAAAAAAGGTGATAAAAATGAACTAAATGATGAGCTGACGGGGACTGCAGAACTGGGAAGCAGTTCTGTTTCTCATAACACATAACCTCTTTCACATTACACATAGTCATTTATAAAAAATTATTAATATAAATATATTGATTTGTGCAATTATGAAGCAGCTCAGTTGTTTCTTTGAATGAAATTTGGTTGACTTTGCTGCCTGGATTCAAGAGCGGAGATAATTTTGTTAAACTATTTTGCAATGCAACCATTTAGGGTACAACACTAAAAACAAGACAGAAATGAAAGCAAGACTGTGCAATGAATGTGCCTTTTAAACTTTCAATGGATAATCTCATGTTCCAAAAAGGTGGATGGATGGTTCTCCAGTAGTGTTTCAAAGGTGGGATGAAAATCAGCCAGAATTCCAGAACAATGATGAGAATTGTGCTGCCATGACTATCTCCATGGGTGAGTAATTTAAAATTAATTCATCTTCACTGGGATATATTGCATGTCGACTTGCCTGATATTGGATATTAAAGACTCATTTCATTTTTTTTGGTTTGGCTCATAGGGTTCTGGCATGATTATAACTGTGGCTTTGAGCACAGGTCCATTTGTAAACGCAGTGCCTCAATACCTGCCAATACCACTGTAGCACCAACAGTTCCTCCAAGAGGTGGCTGTCCACAAAGCTGGAAAAAATTTAACTCCAAGGTCAGAGACTATTCAACTATTTGTTATATATACGGTATACTGTATATTTCAGTTTTTGGTGAAATTGTCATGAATGTATAAATTCAATTATATGTTTATTACTGAGGTCATAGTTAAAGGTGGTGTTGTACTAGACTCCATTATATTCAGAGGTGTTCCTAATATTCCGACCCTCTCATGTACAGTATGTAGCTTGGGAAGACAAAAATATAGAGACAACCCCACCGCGCCAGGAACCACCACCACAGGGGGAAGCACTGAGCAAATTGCTACTTGGTACACCAAAACGAGGAGAAGAAGACTAATGTCAGCTGGGGCTACCTTCTATTGTAATGCATTTTGACAAAAAACAAAATATAAAAACAAAGCTTCGACTAGACAAGTCAACTGACGGGTCTCTCAACTAACAATTCAACTAGTCGACTTTTAGGGGGAAGCCCTACATTTATTCCCGTTATAGTAGTTTGAAGGCAAGAGAAACTAATTCACTGAGAAATTAGATGGAATTTCAGTCCGATGTAATGTCCTTTAAGCAGTGATCTATTTGTGGATAAAAATATATTTGTGCTATTTTTAGTATTACATGAAACCGCTGCTTTTTCACCCTACAGTGTTATATTATCAACAACACCCAGAAAGAGACATGGGAAGGAGCAAGGACACAATGCAGGGCGATGGGAGGAAATCTGGCCTCAATTCCCTTAAGACATGTACAAGGTGTGTTTTAAAAATATTTCAGAAAAATGTTATATTCCTTTCCATACTTAATAAAGCCTCATTATTGAAAGATTATACAAAATTAAAGTTGTTTGCTATAGCAATTACTTGCTGGGTTCATCAACATTTTCCTTCATCCAAAATATCTGTCAACAAGTGTAAAATTTTTATTTGGATGTATATACAGTATATAAAAGATTTTGAAACCTTTTATTTACAGACCTTCAGGCATTTATAATCTGCACAGTACAAACAAATGCTTAATAAAATGATGCTCACAGTCCAGAGTATTTATAATGACCAAAGGCTGTCAAAAGCTGATGAGCAATTTGTTCTTTTGCACAGACAGAGTGGGACAAAGTAAGAGCAAAAACCAGGATTAACATCAGTTTGACTTTATAAAATGGAGAGTGTTAGAAACAGTTAAAGGACTCATATTTTATTCAGATGTGGTTTTCCTCCTTCTGGATGCATTAGCATCTAAAGCTTATGTGCTTGTTTTTATAATTAGTGACCTAGAATGATTATGATTTTATCTTTTTTAAACAAATTTTAACTATTCAGTCATCCTTTTTCATCTCCAGTCAGTCCAGAATGCTGCCGCTCATTCATTGATAACGGCACGTAAACTTGATCATATAACATCCATGCTCGCTTTACTCCACTGGCTTCCGGTTCATTTTAGAATCGATTTTAAGGTGTTGCTTTTTGTTTTTAAAAACGCTAAAGCTGTTTAGTACCCCCTTCCTGGAAGATCTCTTAGGCTGCAACTTCGCATAGCAGTGGCTCGTGCCTCACAACAACTGTAAAGTTTTGTTCATTTTTTTACACTCCAAAAGCCTTTGCCATTATTAGATTTCCGCACTGACAACAATGGATGGTAATGATGGTAGACTGACAGAGACAGATGGTAATTTATTCAGATAATCCTGTGGACAAAAAATGACATGCAAAAAATAATATCACAATCTAAAATCACCCATATGTGTTACATTTTTAGTGTTTTTGTCTACTCAAATGGCCGAGGCACCAACTATAGACCTGTGGATTGGTTTGCATAATACACATGGCGGTTCATTTTACTGGACAGATGGACGACCAATGCGATACACTAACTGGGGATCTGAAGTAAGTGGATACTCATTTTTTTATTTCAAAGTTATGTGATGCACTACTAAAAAATTAGTACTGCACTACAGCTAAAGTTTTTTGTGTTTTTGTTATTTTTCATGAAAATATGCATTGTTGTTTCTCCATTGTTGCAGGGCCGCCTTCCAATGAGATTTGTACACCAAACTCGCTGGGTAACATGTTTAATTAACTTTACTCTATATGAGGCATAATTTTATCACTCATATGCTAAAACAATAAAAGTTATTTGACATCTTTATTCAATATCATGATTATAAGAACCTCCGCCGGGGGAGGGGTATTAGATGATGTTTGTTTGTTAAAAACATTACTCAAAAAGTAATGAACAAAGTTTGATGATTTTAATTTGGTTACAGGAATATTTTAAAGCCACTTTATTAAATTTTGCCACTTTTCTGGCAACAAAGTAGCCTAACCACCTAGACTGAGAATACGTCTTAAGTCTTTCAAGTCAAGTCAAGATTTTTATTTGCCATTTATGCATAAACAGACAGTCTAGGCTTATAGCAATTCTTGTGCAGCTCTCATTTAGAGTCAGGTAAGGAGTCAAAAGCCAGACAGAACACTTAGTCTTAAAATAAAAAGTTACATAAAGGCAACAAAAGTATTAAAAACCGCAATACACAAAAATAGGGTAATAGTATTTTCCCCAGTGAACTTCAAACATCACACTAAGTAATTCACATGGTGGAGTTGGATATGTCACTACACTTGGTGAGGGGTTATAACACACTAAAACATAGTTTATATTCAGGCTTGTTTCCATTGTTTGGTAGAGAATCTCCTGCTATTATTCAAGTACCCCAAGAGAACACTGTTGATGAGATGCTCTTACAAAAATACCTTGTGGAACATTTCTGTATTATTATTGCATGTCTAGTGAGGGGTTATATATTCTCACATTTCTCACATTTTCGTATTTGCCATCAGTCTTACTGCGGCAGGGAAAAAGCTGTTGTAAAGTCTAGTTCTGTGTGTGATGATACTGTCCACCCTGCTGTGCCTGAGGCTGTAGGTACAGTTTTTGTGTCTGAGCAGGGAGTGAGCTGGGTGACGTAGATCCCTGAGTACGTTCTCCACCCTTTTATGACAGCGTTGTGTGTACAGTGTGTCCATAGCAGGCAGTTCAGTCCCAGTGATCCTCTCTGCGGTCTTTATGACCCTTTGAAGAGCATTCCTCTCTGCCTGTGTGGTGTTACCATACCAGACTGTGATGCCAGTAGTGAGGTTGCTCTCTACCAGTCTTCTATAAGCCTGGGTGAGAGAGCGACGGTTCAACACAGCTTTTCTGAGCTGCCTGATCAAGTATAGTGGCTGTTGGGCTTTCTTCACTGTGGCAGCTGTGTTCAGTGACCAGCTCAGGTCAGATGTCACCTGCAGGCCCAGGAACTTGTGGCTGTCAGCCCTCTCCACCTCAGTCCCTTTTGATGGTCAGAGGCAGCAGAGGGGAGGGGTTCTTCCTGAAGTCTACTATTTGAAGTCTGTTCAAGTAATGCCAATTTAGAATTTGTTCTGACCTTTTCAGACACACGAGTACTCATTATCTGACCAAGCTAGTTTTATTAGCAGGCAGCCACATCTTGTTCTGAGAACAGCAGTCGATGTTCTAGCTCCACATTAAAGCTGTGTTTCCACTGTTGGAACTTAAAGAATGGTACAGCCCGTGTTTCCCTTAACTGTCACTCAGCGTAACCACACATATATTGAGATGGACTGTCCTACTTTGCTTCTCCACTGTATTTTTCACAGTGTCATCTCTGTTTAGAGGAGAGAGGGGCAACACACACACACACACACACACACACACACACAGCTGAGCAGAGGACATGAAGGATCACTCCGCAGTTCAACAATCAGCCAGTAATGAAGACTGTGTGAGCAGTTTATCAAACAGCTGTTGAAAAGAGAAGACCACAAACTTGCAGAAATGTGAGATCTCCGCCTCTTTGCTCACAATCACTGAAGCCCCCGTTTTAAAGAGGGCTGGGAACAGCACAGGGGAGGAGGGCGCACACATGCAAATCGCACACGTTAGGTTACAGTTGCTAGGCGACCAAAAAAGCTTTCCAGGAGGTGGTTAGCGGATATCACCTAGTGTTTCAAGCCGCAGACTTGGATGCACGATGTATCTATCTACACACCAGTGAAAAGCTCATTAGTTGTTTTGATGAGGAGGAGGAGACAGGCTGTAACAAAATAGAAGAGGGTGTGGGTTCACCAAAATCAGCTTCTCCTCCATTTTCTTTGTGCAAGTGAAAGCCCCTTTAACCCCAAATCAACGAGTAAATGTCTAGCATTTTTCTTGAATAACTTTCAAACTAATAATATCATTCCAAATCCACCAGTAGGTTTTCTTGGTCATGCAATCATATTATGAGGGTCAAGCTATGGTGGGAGTTATTTTATAGCTTAATAGTGAAACTGAGTTGCCCCTTGGTCAAGGTTGCACTCTGAGTGCTAAGAATACATTTTTGGTTTATTGATAAACATTATGACCTTGTTATTGTCCATTGCAGGATCGCTTCCGTTATGAAAGAATGCACCTGTACGATGAGGTAAAATTACTTTGATCATTTGATTGTAATGTGCAAAAATACATCCTGCTTTTATAATAACTTGGACTTTTGCATTTGGCACACAACCTTTGTCCAAACGTTTGATGAATTATATGCATCTGTATTGTTTCTAACATATTTTCTGACTTTGTATTTATCACAATTTTTGACATCCTGAAAATTCATTGCAGATGGATTTCCACCCTTACATTATTCGTCATATGCTGCCGGTAAAACCTTCTTTACACTGTATAGTGCAATACAACTTCATTTTCCATAACACTTATGATAACCACACAACCATGCCGGTCATATAACTGTAAGCATTGTAACAGCTGTTGTTGTAGTTCCTCTTTCAGCTGCTCTCCAATCTTTCGGGGCTCACTGCAATAGATCTCAATGATCCTCATACAGTACATGATTTGGTACAGGTTTTACTCTGGATGCCCTACCTGATGCAATGCTTCCATTTTATATGGCACTGGCATGTGTGGCAAACCATTGCCGCTTGCTCTCAACCTACCTATTCTTACTCTGTGCTTTACCAGGAAGGGTGTGCTGTGATGATTACTGATCCTAATATTGGCATTGGAAAATGGGCAAGAAGATCCTGCAATGACACCAATGGATATGTCTGTCTTAAAAATCTTGGTGAGCCTACCCTTTGGCTTTCTCTAAAATGCATTTCCTAAAGGTAGAATGATTTAATAGACAACGACTGTGCTAGTACAGTACAGTACAGTATGTAACCCCTATAGTATGTATTAATTTGTATTGGTTACACACTGTAGGGATTGTCAGGGTACATTTATGCAAAACCTTGTTAATCCAATATTGTCATTAAGCAGTCCTGCTCCATGATGCATCTATATTTCAACCTTTCTAAATCATCATTATCTCCAAACTAAGGCCGCAATCATTATTTTCATTATGAATTATAGCAAAAAGTAGATTCGTTTCTGATTAATTGTTTTGCCTGTAAAATGCCAGAGATTAGTGAAAAATGTTGTTATAATTTACCAGACAAATGCAACACTGCTTGTTATGTTTGACCAACAGTCCAAAATCCATTTTACCATCATGTGTGACAAAGAAAATCATCAAATCTTCATATCTGAAGATTATATGTCAATAACTGGTCAGTAATTGCACCATTAAGAATTAATTGCTTAAAAAATGTATTAACTGACAGTACAAAATACGAGGATGCGCAGTGATGCGCAGTGTTGACTGACAGAAAAGGTGCAATAGTTTGCTGTAGTACCTGATTACACCACCAGACGGTGCCTCTTGCTGTTTAATGGAGTGCGTGTTTGCTGACCACCCAATCTATAAAACAAACACACCTCCTTGCCACTTAAGAAAGAAATAAGCTTTCTGTGCTCACACTATTGCAGTTGTGTTAATGCACACTGTGGTATGAGGTTTCGATGGAGTTCTTTTCTGGTGGCTGTTCGTTGTAGCTAGTATCTGAGTCTTCATTAATGTGGGCTGGGAGCTGAGTGTACATTAGCCACAATGCTAACATCCAGGACATACATTACTCTACTTATAAATTTTATCAATCAGCAAAAAACTGATGAGCAGTAAAAGTGACACCACCCTGCTCTGAGTAGGCTATAAATGCTTTTGTTTTGTTTTTTTAACAACAGAACCCTAACCTTGAAAGAAATGAAAACACTAAATTGATCAAATTTCTCACTCTACAGACCCATCTCTCCCAGACTCCAGTGAACCAACAACTCCTACAGACTATATCAAAATGTTAAATGACTCTATCAAAGTTGTTTCACAAAACATGACCTGGGAAGCAGCCAGAAAAAACTGTGAAACTGATGGTGCCAACCTGGCTAGCCTGAGAAATGAGTGGTCAAAATTGTACGTTGAGCTGATGGCTTTGAATCTCCAAACTCCTCTGTGGATTGGACTAAACAAACTGCAGGTAGTGGGCACAAGGCACCTCAAACAGCACATAGCAAAATGCACAACGGTTTATGAAGCTAAATGTTTTGTCCATGTTTGTCCATGACATCTAGCATAAAATCCTAAAAGAGCAGTATTAAAGGTACCTTTGTATAGATTTCCTAAACTCACACTAGCCAGATTTTACAATATTAAACAAAACTTTCGGCTATGTTCAGTGTTAGCTAACTGTAAGAACAGGGAAGTAATCAGGTTTTTTTTTTTTTAAATCATCATTCAATGTAAAAATCCAAAAGATACTGAACGCAGTTTGTAATCTTTGCCTACAGACTAACGGATATTTCAGATATGTTGATGGCTGGCATATGACCTTATCTAACTGGGGTACAGCAGAACCAAGCATGAAAAGACCCTGTGTGTATGTGGACGTGGATGGAAAATGGAAGACCGCTGATTGCACTCAGAACATGTCAAGTATTTGTATGAAATCTACAGGTAGGGCTGATGTCAGTTTTAATAAACTCATACGTGAATCATCCTAAATTCCAACATGTTTGAATACATCCTGTTTGGAACACTGTATTAATATTAACACAATACTTGACACATTACTTACTGTTCAGTATGATTTATACTAACAGTCGTCAATTACTATTGCATTTAGTTTTCTTTCCTAGATTATTGTCAAACAGGTTCTCACTTCAATTAACTAGATATGAAAGCATGTACAAATTTTTTTTTTTTTGACCCCAGTGTCATCACACTCTGTCATTCACAGATATGGCACCAACAGAGTCAAGTGAATTCCCAGGAGTTTGCCCTGAAGATGGAGAAATGACCACATACACAAGGCAGAGTTACAGCTGGCTACCATACAAGGGTTACTGTTACCTGTTTCTCACAGAAAAGATTGAGTGGCCAGATGCATCTACCAGCTGTTCAAGACATGGTAAGGAACTGAGGAACAGTTTTAATGACAGCTCTATTCTGCTTCAACTAAACATAAGGTCTTTAACTAAAGACAAACTATCTGGTATTTGCATTACAAAGTTATAACAGGCTCATTTGCTTGCTTTGTTTACAAAGGTGGAACTCTTGCCAGTATTGAGAACCCCTCTGAGCAAGATTTCATTACAAAGAATGTGCAAATATTTCAAGAGAGCCACACGTCTTTTTGGATCGGCTTGTATAAAACTCACAAAGGTACGGTCACAATCTCTGCACAACAATTTGAAACACTAAAAAGATGAATGCTAAAGAACATGATGGATAGACCAGTCCATCCATCTTCAGCTAATTATACTAGCATAACCTTTACCAAAGGCATGATCACTCAGCCATGATTGGACCAAAACAGTCACATGACACAGGCAGTTGGAAGACAATTAAAATGTGCAATGTAATATTTACAAAATAGACAGTTTGCCCTAACTTTAAACTAAATAATAATTTCTTGATGTATATGTTAGTGTTAATTATTAAATGACAATTTTGTTTTCCAAATCTACTTGAATAACCTATAACCTCACACCTCATACAGTACATTATCTTTATTGTGACTAAGTGAAAGGATAGGACTGAATAACGTGGAGAGCATTTTGTAAAATATGAACCCAAAACCATATTAACTGGCCATATGGGGTAAGGGGAAGAAGCTGAAAACACAACATAACATGTCTGCTAATATGTTAGCAGACATGAACGTAAAGGCAGATGGAGAGTAACATCAGCACTTATAGTAGATGTGCTTCTGTAATATTCAGTCTCCTTTCTTAGCCCTGTTTAATCTTACCAAATCAGTGAAATATCATGCATCTTAGCTGCTCAGTACTCTACTTTGCCCACCAGCAAAGTTTGCTGACAATATTGTAGCACACCAAAACTACATGGGATTAAAACAGAACAAAAAATGGTGGTATGGGGAGAAACTGTTCTGAAACAGAGACTGAAACCATAATAACAAGCATCCACTGCCTCCTGTCACTGCAGGTGTAGCCTGTTGAGCTCTCAGTACATTACTAATGTAACTTCAATATTCCAAAATCTTGATACTGTATAACAAACTGAAAAAATGCTTCATATGGTACAAAAAAAAAAAAAAAAACTACTGAGAGGAAAAAAACGCTGTGAATTTCTCTTTGGCACCAGGCTTGTGGCAGTGGTTGGATAAAACAGTCATGGACTACGTTAACTGGGATGTAGATCAACCTGATATCAACCCTTATGGAGTGATACAAGTTTCAAATGGGAAATGGAATACAGGGAACCGGTGGCGTGATAGAGGATATGTCTGCAAAACACCCAAAGGTGAGGTCATCATTCTTATTAGTTCTTAAAAAAAGAGGCATGAATTAAAGTAATGCTTATGTGATAACAGAATGTCTAAAATGTCTAACAGTGCTGAAACTCACAAATCAATTACAAACATACTTATAAATGGATTTTGAGATATGCACTTAACTAAATGCAGTGCACCTTTATGCCTTTTAAAATGTTAATTTGAATGTTTTCCTTCCTTCTAGTATTATCAAAAGCACCACCAACAATTAGTAAGCTACACCTCTTCATCATTTTCATTTGACTCACAGTTATGATTCAGTTCTTTTGGCTGATCATCATCCATATGTTGTATCTTTGCAGTAAGTCCTACGAAGAAGCCTCAAACACGTGGCCACATAATTTTGCCAGCTGTGCTGGTCATTGCTGCAATTGTCATTGGGACAGTCATCATCATCTTCCTCTTCAAGAAGTCTGGCCGCCGCCTACCTATCCCTGAAAGGTTTACAACATTCGACAACCCGCTCTTCTTCAACAACGAGCGGGCCCAACCTGAGTAGATACTAATTAGTAGTAGATACTAATAATCTGGTAGCAAATGCAGAGGAGGAGAACCCTGGGTCTGGTATGTAAATACTAGCAGATGTTACTCAACGGATGCATGACCAATAATTTCATTTTCTGTTTCTGAACTACGTTTCTATGCAGTTGACAATAACTGGCTTTACAGAACAAAACAATTTAGGGTGTCTATACAAATCTGTATTTGTAATCATTTTGTAATTTGAAATTCTTTTTAATTGTATATTTTATAACAACTAAGCATTTGGTGACTGATTGAATGTGCAGGGCATCATTTTAATTCATACTTACACCATGCCTGTAAACTGTACTATTTTACTTTAAACTACTAAACCTATTAGGACTATTTTTGTATTTACTGCAGATTGCTCACTGTGTAAAATTGAAAGTTTAGTTGTATGATTAACCTGAAACAAGTCAAACATGAAACACTGAACAGCAGCCAATATAATATTATAGATGACAATTTATCATCTATAAATCCAGCAGGGAGAAAACACTTCTACACAATGTTTTACTTCATTTATCCAAATTTGTGCTAAATGTTACTTAACACAGCTTTAAGTTAAAGCAGAAATACCACACTGCAAAAATACTCATAAGTACCAAAAGTACTTCAAAAGCACCAAAGTAACGGCACATTCACAGTAATGTATATTATTGGGTTGTCCAAATGTTGCAGCCGGTAAAGGTGGAGCTAATGAACCATCTTATATACTTATAATGTGAATTACTATTGGATAGTTTGTGAATTTCCCACTGGGGATCAATAAAGTCTTATGATTATGCTGTAGTTTGTTTCATTAACTTGTTTCTGGGGAAAAAAGAATATATAATTAAGTTATCAAATAAATATAGACCTAACAATTGCCTCTAAAATGTAGTCGAAAATAAGCACTATTAGACCAAAATACAGATAGGCTACCGCAAATTTATACTTAATACCGTATTTGAGTAAACGTAGGCCTCCTTAGTAACGCTACTTTACACCACTAAGCAGAGGCACTCGGATACAGTAACAAACAGACAAAAGCTCAATAAGACTCACATTATTTGACGTCTACGTCCTTTGTTTCATGGAGGTGAAGTATTCACGTCATATAATGTCCCTGTGCACTTGTTGTATTAGCCGTTTCTGTTGTTGACAAAAATTCTCATCTTCTGTTGCCAAAGCTGCTAACTTTAGCTTAAAAGCACGTAATCACCAACACTAAAAAACAAACTCGCTATACTAACGTTAATTCCCCGGTTGTTTGCTTTAACATTAGACCTATTGATACGTTTAGCGTTTGTTGTCAGACCAATAACTGGCTTTAAAATTCATTTCAGACTTTTTTTTTTCCAGGGACTTCTCCAGTGACATTTTAAATTCAACTACCTTGCGTTTTCTTCCATCAAGCAAACGTAGATTAAGGTGCATTACCATTTTTGTCCACACACGCTGGATGACATTTACCAGCTACTATATTCCCGGGGGCGCTGTTACACAGGGTTGCAGATAATCAAGAGAGGTGAATTAATTGTACATACCGTATGTGTACTGTATGCAAAGATGTCCATATTATAAAACGATGGAAGAAGTACCTACTTAAGTAAAAGTAGCAATGCTACAGTGTAAAAAATACCCTATTACAAGTAAAAGGCTTTCATTCAAAATGTTACTTAAGTAAAAGTACAAAAGTATTAGCATAAATATACTTAAAGTACCAAAAGTAAAAGTATTCATTATGCTAAGTGGCACAGTTTACATTGATGTACATCTTATTATTTGCTCATAGTTAAATGTATTATTATGTAAATCACATGTAATGTAATTTTAACTACCTTATATGTTTATAATATGAATTACTGCTGGATAGCTTGTGAATTTCACACCATGGGTCAATAAATGATTTTATGATTATACTGTATTTTGTTTTGTTCAGAAAAGTAACTAGTAACCAAACTTATCAAATAAATGTAGTGAGTACAAAGTACAATATTTTTTCTCCAAAATGTATGAAGTAGCAGGAAATGAAAATACTCAAGTAAAGTACAGATACTTCAAATTTGCATTTAAGTACACAATTTGAGTAAATGTACTTAGTTGCTTTCACTTCTGGTATAAAGTATATTTTTAAGTGTATGTTCAGAAGCAGATAGCAGAAGCATACAGAGAATTAAGAGAAAACACACATGCAAGAAAGTTGTCCTGCTGCAGAACCCGCCAGGAAGTCTTTTGATGAGATCATGTTGGACAATAATATTAAGCCTCATCCCTTTACTATTTTGGTTTAGTTTCTGTCTACACCTAAATATTAACCTAATTGAAAGCCATGCCACTGTTTGACCAGTAGTGGTTGGTGAGGGTGCATGGAAACAAATGAATAATAATAATAACAATAAAAACAAATGTTACAAAGAGCAAAATGAAAAAATAAGAATGGGGGCAGGCAATATATTTTCTACCTTTTTTAGATTGTAGATTGCAGTATCTTTGCCTTGGTGACAAATATCCCAGGCTTCACACCCTCTGTTCCTTTCATAAATTTGTATAGCTGTATTATGATTGCATTTTGAAGGAACTTTCATGTCAAGGAATAATTTCAAGGGTTGCGATAAAGAGGTGCTGGCATCTTCAAAACAAATGTTACTTACATTCTTTGTTTTATATTTTAATGATTTTCAATAATAGAATGCATATTTGTCCCAATTAATTTCTGAATGCTGTACAAAACAAAAATAACCAAAATAATACATTTTGAAAGGAACAAGTTGATTCAGTCTCTTCATCTCAAAGCAATCATACACACTAGGTCAGGTGCTACCAAACAGTGCAACAGACTCTCTGGATTTTCTTACATTTACCCAACAAGGCAATTATGAAGTATGTACAAATGCATAGAGATTGTATTCAAGCTATATATGTTATAACAAGATGCATAGAGTATCCAGCATATAGCACAGGTCAGTGTCACCAAAAGATTATTCATGCTTCCAGTCAGAGTAAATGCCAGTTAATAAATATGCTTGAATACCATTTTAAAAAAGTAGGAAGCAAAGTACAACTTCCCTTTAGCATGTAGAAAAATAGTGTAATTTTCTATACCATTGTTTAAAACAAACTGTTGGCTTCTGTAGATACACGTCTGATTTTAAGTACATAGGGGCAGAGTAAGATGTGACACTGAAACACACAAGTCAGTTTTTCACACAGTTATTTGGCCATTGTAGAAACAAAAAACATAAAATGCACTCAATGTATGCAAACCCAGAACAGATGTCTAAATTATTTTATCATGTTTTCTCAGGATCACAAGTTAATTATTTCATAATGTCAGGATATTAAAGATGTTTTGTCATTATAGAAATGTATATATGTATTTGTTTTTATTTTCAGCATTGATTAATCTGCAAATCATTTTCTTAATAATATACTCATTTAGTGTGTAGAATGTCAATAATAACTAACTAAATAAATACATACATATCATGTCTTCAAATTTCTTGTTTTGTGTGACCAGTTGCCCAAAATAAAAAAATATACAATTAACAAAAGTAAAGGTGAAGCAGCAAATCCTCTAATGTTTGGCATTTTGGCAAAGATTTGCTAACTTTTCTATTGACTAACATATTATTCAGCTAATTGTTTCAGCTATATAGTGGGTTATAATGTTTTATCTTGGGAAAACAAGAATTTCTGGAGGTATCTCAAAAAGTATCATGTTATCACAAGTAAATAATTGTTTAATTATGAGATAACTGTGATCTTGGATTAAAAAAATAACACTGCAACTGTGACTTTTCCTTGCATGACCAATACCTCAACATAATATAAATTGGCAGCAATTTTGATAAACACATAATCCTTTTAGTTTTTTCAAGCAAAAATACCAAACATTTGCAGGCACTAGCTTTTCTTTGTCATATAAGATAGTAAATTGATTACAAAACAAGACATTGGTCATACAAAACAAGACATTTGATGATGTCACCTTGTGCTGTAGAAAATTGTAAATTTTCACTGCTTTCAAACATTTTATAGACAAAATGATCAACTGAGAAAACAACTGGCATACTGTATCAACCGATGATGGAAATACAGTAATTGTTAAATGCAGAACCTACTTTAGAACAGAATACTGCATCAGCAAACAAGTGCAGTTTAATCTCAAACAATATTTGTGCAAAAACACACAGAGCTATATGGATTATGGGAAATTAAGACAGACATAAACAAACCTTACAAGTAGTAAACTTTCTTTTGGTAAAGAAAGAGAAAGAAAGACAGTGTGTGTGTGTGTGTGTGTGTGTGTGTGTGTGGTAAGGGGTTAAATAACAAATGGCAAACCATTATGACTACAAAGATGACACACTCTGCCCCATCTATTAGTGCATTATATAACTTGAGCAGCATATAACCACACACCACCACGCAATAGAAACAACAGTCGCTAGGAGTCTCTGTGCCATTGTCTTGCATCTCTGTCTCTACCTCCATC